TTTTCTTGAATCGTACTAGAATAGGTTACAGGATCCAAATCTTGAAATTCACTTCCTTGATCCTTCTTAAGATTTTCTATGTTAGAATTTATCTGTCAATATAAAATCAATGTAATAACTTACTTCATCGTCAATTATAATTGGAACCTCATTCTGCTCCGTAAGATTTAAGACCTTTAAAAAATTTTCTCTTTTGATAAGCACCACATTTGGTGCGTCCAAATGTAATGTTTCGGAAGTTTCATCGTTTAAAAAAAAGGAAACGGAAAACAATGGGTTCGTATTAAAAGTGGCATTGGTTATTTTGCCTTCGGTAGCTTTCCAAATAATATTAAAAGAATATTTTATAAGTTCATCTCTATTTTCTACCGTCTCAATCATTTCTTGACAAATTATTTAAAAAATGAATCTACATGAACGATCATATTTATAGATGTTTTCTAAATGATGTGATCATATTTTTAAACTGATTTTTAATATGACTAACTCGAGAGAATTCTATTTGATTATTATTACGACTACTGATTAAGATATTTTATTCTGATTCTGTATATAATGAAATGTTTCTGTTTGTGCCTAATAAATAATATATCATAAACTTTGTTTATATGAGTGTAAAGAATGAACAGACGAAACTTAAACATCATTAAATAGGTATATATTCGAATAAAATCTATTTTAACTATGCATACAACCTAGATTTATGTCAGCCATTGTTGTGATTTTTGTTCTCAAAAGTGCTTTAAATTGCACAAAAAAGTCTTGAAATGATCAATAACAAAAGTTACCGGTAAAAAATTTTGACCTGTCATTTATTGGGGTAGTAACTATATGAAAATACTCTGAAAATTTCTTCTTCTCTTTTCCTTTATCAACCTTTTTTAGGTTTATCATTATTATTATTACTATCTTTATCTGAACTATTTTTAAATTCAGATTGTTGTTGTTCTTCTTCTAAAACAACTTTTTCTTTTAGATCTGTTGCATCTTCTAATAGTTGTGTTAAACCTGTCTTTTCTGTTGAACTTCTTTTTAATAAAGCATCAAAATCAACAGATATTATTTCTTGGAGTTCTTCTTCTTCTTCTTCTTCTTCTTCATAAATCATATAAATCTCTAATCCAAGAACCATCATTTCCTTTATGAACATTGCCTTTATATTTTAATGCTAGTCTTATTTCTTCTGTTATTATTCTTTCTTGTTCTTTATTATCCTTACTATTAATTTTCATATTATCACTTAAAATACTTAAATTTTAACATATTGATACTATTTACAATAAAAATTTTAAGACTCTAGCATTTCAATTTAAAATGTTAAGAGGGGGATACTTATGATTCTGACTGTATTTAGCAAAACTACAAGTACTACGTAGATATTATATGAAACATCATTATCACATGACAATAAATATCCTTTTAAAATTGACATTGCTAAAAACTGAAATTATAATCGACTCAAGTTAAGTCGAATTTTTAAGATAAATATGGTTTATTATGTATTTAATTTATTTGTTATACCGTATAATATTTATCTTCAATCAAAGAGTTCAGTAAATCATAAATGATAAACCTTTCCCTTGGTGTCACTTAATTATTGTAATTCCAGATATCAGTACGGAAAATGCTCTCTTCAAAAAACGTTAGATCTTTCAAATAATTTAATTTGCTACTTTGAAAGATTGAAAAGATATAGATAAAATGCCATCTCTTCACGAAAATGCTACTTAGGAGAATAAATAAATATTTCTTTCTTTAGATAGAAAAGTGTTAAGAGACATTATTAAATGATTTATTTTTATCATTTTTTATTGTTTATTTTTTAATAATTACTGCATTTATATTTTTTTATTATAAATAAAATATTTCAAATAAATATTTTAGACATACCTGAAGCATCCATGAGATTTTTTAATCAAGCTCTAAGTAAAGTTGTAGAGGAGTGTCTTAGTCCCATCACTACATGTGACAAAAGGGTTGCTGGACAATCTAAGATTTGGGGTGGTTTTTTTTTTTCATAATAGTTGAGTAGAATTAGGGAGCAATTTTGTATTATGGGGAGTAGTTTTCCTTCTATTTATAACGATAAACATGAGAAAATTTTCCAAAACGGGTAAATAAAAAGATAAAGCCACAACTTTAATTAAATTAATGTCTAGAAAAAGTGATTTGATTTGTAGATCTACTTTATATGTTTGTAAACCGCTTTTTAGCATGTTTTCTGAATAATCCTCTTTTAGCAATAAATAACTATGTAGAAATTCCTGGGAAAAAAGGAGTAATATTGAAGATGAGTGTTGATTTTTTTTCTAATTTTTTTTTCACAGCAAGAATGAATCATAACAATCCCATTATCTGTTTTATTTTCTGATGAAGTTGAAAACATCCAAAAAGGAGAAGGAACTTGAGGATACTGTTGTTGAAGTTTTGAGGAGCAAAGGCATAGATTGCATTGGTACAGGGTGGGTTTTCACTGAGTTTGTGCAAAATGTTGTGTATCTGAAGTTACGCTACCACTATCGGTATAAATTATCTGGGAATTGAAAGCCCTTCGTGGCCACGGTTTTGGCTGTGAACGTTCTTCCCAGTTTCCGATGTCCAGAAATCGCTGGCGCCCTGCTGGATTTATGGTGAATAGGATACATAAACTATCGAATTGAAAGCTCTTCGTGGCCATGTCTTTGACATGAACGTTCTTCTATAGTTGTAAACGATATACACATACTCAAGATTATTTATTTTATCAATTATATAGAAAAAAGAATGATGGGGGAGTCGATGTTATGGGAGAATTATTTGGTATGCCATTTGTTGTGCAGTGCAAAAATTGGAAATCGCAACAGATAGGTAGATGTTTTTTTTTATTCTTTTTGAATTATTAAGCAAAAATAGTATTTATTAGGTTTATATTTTATAGGCCCCTCGATTGTGCGTGAATTGATAGGTGCACTTGACCCGTATCCTCGAAGTACAATTGGCATCGTAGTAATTCCATCAAAAATTAGATATAACTATAGAAAAAATAATTGGGAATGTGGATATACGCCTGGGGCGTATGATACAGCAATGAAATCAAGTTGTAAAATTATTCTCACGGATATAAGTGATATTTTTTTAGATCTCATTCGAACAATTCTTCATCAAATATCCAAACAAATTGATTTTCTCACAGACCGAGTAAATGAATATAGGTTTTTATCTCTGAGTAATTTACTTTCATTTACTTTTTTATTTTTTTTATTTTTGTTTCTATCTCCTATTTTGTGTTTTTTTTTCTATTTTTTATTTAGAAATAGATTTTCTTAATCTTTATTATGAGTAAATTTCAATAATTAGTAATATCATAATAACTGCAAAGAAAATTAACAAATTTACTAACAAATTTTACTTTCTAATTACATGAAAAGCTTAGTATTGCAAAAAAAAAAACATGAATCAATATTTTCTGTTCAAGATACATATCTACTCTAACTTAATTAAATATTTGCAAGGATACTACACTAATTTCATTGGATATTAGTAGTAATAAACTTGATTCAGAAGTTGGAAATGCTTTGGCTGATGCACTTTCCAAGAACACTACGCTGACTTTCTTGACAATATACAAGGAAATATACTTGGTGACTATGGAGGAAAAGCCTATGCTAATATAGTACCTTTGATACAATATTAAAATTCAACATAGAAATGTAAAAAAGTTTTGGGTCGCATCATTTAAATTATTAAACGTATTTATTTTTTAATAATTGATTAATCTTTATTAACCGATTTTATCTGTTTTCTCTCTACATAAATAAATGATGTATTGTAATACATTGTAACACGCATTTCTTATAAATGTGAATAAACGCTTTATATCTAATCAAAAATGAAAATCCGAAATTCTAATAGGGTCACAGTTGCACGCAACAATTGTTGTGCAAAAAAAATTCGGTGTGGTGTGATTATCATTAACCTTGTTACCAATGCAAATATCGCAATATCGAGTGCGAATACGAAAAATTTTGCAAGAAACGCGGTCCCGAACCTTGACCAAAAAAAAAAAAAAAAATTAATGACCACATTTGTTTAACAGCCAAATAGGAATTTTATACTTTACATATAATGAAAAATGAAATGTTAAAATAAAATTGACTGCATCAATAGCTAGTTTTAGAAAGCTTTACTTTAATCTATAAAATTAGTTTCAGGTATCAAATTTAATTTTGTAAATTACTGTCATCATCACGCTTATATTCTAGTTTCCCAATATATGAATCCTTGACGTTTGTGTGTGATTTTTCTTTGCGCGATTCTTTATAATCCCACTGAATATATATTCCAACTGGACCTCCATTGATTAAACCACGCGGCAGAGATACAACAAACATTCGATCTTTTATATAATCTAAGAATCGAATTTTTTTGTTCTTATGTCATCCCTTTTGACCGTAAACGCAAGCAATTTTCTCTTAAGTGTTTTTAAAATAGCTATTCGAAATTACTGCGGATAACAACTTTATTCATTTGTTACTATCTTAACTTCTTTCAGCTTTAGAATTTAACTATTTTTGATTGGTTTATTAGTGGGTAAAATTTTAATATGCAAAAATTAGCTATTTTTGAAAATAATTAATATTCACAGAATCATATTTTTTTCTTGATTGTTATTTCTTATAATTTTCTTATAATTGTGAAATAAAGTGATCTAAGATTTTCCATAAATTGAAAATATTAAGTCTACGTGTCAAGGAATTAAAAAAGAAACTAATATATAGTTACTTAAGAATGGAACGGATTAATTGATTACCAAATAAAGGTATTTGAGATGAATGATCGAAAGAATGACGGCAACGAAACTTTTGAAAAGAAAATTGGCCGTAATAATCATTTTCATCTAAAATATAGTTAAAGCAATGTTCGCTTTCATTTTGAATGAGTATATTTTTACTCCCCTATATAATTATTAGTGATGTACAAGAATCGATTTATTTTGCAAAATAAAGATATTTGTTTTAAAACATAATTGTTGTAACGGAACTTCTAATTAAACTAAATTTTTCTTTAAATTTTTCTCGATTTAAAAAATCCAAAATTTCTTTCAGAAAATCGTATTCATTTTTAGATGATTTTGTTTCACGTTTTTCATTATTTTTGCGAATTACTTCAATTAATTTCAAGGATTTTTGAAGTTTTTCTTTTTCCTTTTCATCATCTCTTTCTAAAACTTCATCCTTTGTCGTTCTTAAAACATAAGCAAAATGATTACTTTGTTGAAAGTATTGTAATTTATAAAATTATATAAACGAATAAATGTAATTATTATATTTTTTCACATCTTTATACCTTTTAATTATTGGGTTAACTAAACAAAAGTGATTTTGCAGAATAAATTTATTTTGTTTGTTAATATACTAATATTAATTAAATTATTTTATTGTATGAAGTTGAAGACTTAAATAATCCATTTTGAATGTAAACATTTGTTATGTAGCTCAATTTAAATTATGTTAAACATAGAAAATAATGTTTAATTATTTCATTTTTTGCATCTAAAATATTTAATTAAATTATTTAAATTATTTAAAGACGATGAGCTTTAAGAAGTTGATCTAAACATTTTCTAGCAATAAAGAGAGGTTATTAATTTACAATAAAACCAATTTAATTGCTTTTTTTTGAAGTTAACAACTTAATGAAATATTAGCAGATTACGCGAAGCAAGTTCAAGTTCATAGTGCTGTTTCCTTTCAATTAAATTCGTTGATTAATTACAAATACATGAATTGGTAGAGTCTTGTGCGAATTTGGGTAATATAATTACTAATATCAACATTTTTATCACTCGAATCATTTATACTAAATCTCATTCTGTTTTATGAATCTCAATTCGTAATGCTCTGAATTTCATTCTTAAGCTTTATGATGAATAAAATTGAAACGGTGATAGAACAATTTGTTATCATTAAATTGCAGTTAAATTGATCTGGAATGCTACTGAAAGAAATGTTTCTTCTGTAACATTTAATGGAGAAACTGCAGTGATTATAAAAGGAGAAACTTATAGAAAATTAATGGAAAGGTAATTTTAATATTTTTAGTTGCTAATATCTAGATAACGGGCAATGAAGAAGCATCAAATATAGATAATGAAACGAATGTATCTAATGCTCACAAAAGCACCACCCAGGTTATAGAAGTCTATGACAGTGAGAAATTTAATGAGATAATGAAGGTTTGAACAATTCTCGTTGGATTAAATTTTTTTATCAGTTAGTCGAATCGATTATTCAATAATTAAAAATTAATATGCAAATTTAATTAGTAGCGGCCCCATGGGTCTGCTAAATCATGTGATCTTATTGGTCTTTAAATACTTTAAATAACGATATTAACAAATTTCTTATTTTATTAAGTACAATTGAGTTAATTATAAAGTAAAATCCTTTTATCAATTACGTATAAGCATGAACTAACGTGGATGTAATTTCAAATTTTGGCTTTACGTGGTAATTCGTGTCATTACGCTCCTGTGCTTGTATGAATATCGATATTTTGAAAAATACCTGTTCTGACATAATCATAACATTTATATTTAGTTACAAAGAGTAAAAGTCGGTGGCTAAAAAAAAAAAAAGAGGGAAAGAAAGAGAAAAAAAAAATGAAAGATGTTTTGTGATTTGAAATACGCAACTTTACTTTGAAGAAATAGGTAGTATAGAAGTATGATAAGAACCGGGAGAATATATCAGTTATTTCCGCTTCGCAGGCAATAACATATACGTATTAACTTCAATGGTATCCATACTAGATAGTACAAACTTTGCATTTTCTTTTTCAACGATTTTATTTTTTTGTTGAATCATTATTTTGATAACACAACAATGTCAAGTCTGTCTGTGTGAAATCTAATGCATCGTTGACATTTTTAATTATGTAATTTTGTCAAATTTATATTATGATTTTGACCTAACATTACTAAATAAAAATCGGGAGCAAAAGATTTATATTTCATCATCAGAAACAACAAATTCTAATTCACTTTTTAGATAATGCAATTTGAAAAATGAAAATATTGATAAATTAATGAATTTAGAATATAATTTCAAGCAAAATTAAGCATAATTCCGGGTAAAATTTTATATTTTAAACAGTATTCGTATAGCAAAATGTTATTTCCTTTCATTTTTAATAAATTCGCTTGCGCCAAAATCATCTTTTTTCCCATATAATTGAATCCAAAGTTTTGCGCTAGTAAGACCACGATTTGAAGCTTTATGAATTAATTTTCGAGCATTAGGGTAACAATATTTTGTTTGCAGCCAAAACCACCAAGTAAGCTTGACTTTTAGTAAGATTATTTCCTACATAATCATCAGATGCGCAAGCAACTTTAAATAAACAATTTAGAATTTTCAGATATTTATCTTCAGCTTGTTTAAATTCATCTTCAGTTTTTTTAGCTAGTTTAAATTCATCTTCAGCTTTTTTAAAAGTTTTTTTAGGCTTGTATAAATTTTTTGTAAGTTTTTTGCATTTTAAAAAAAATTAATACACTTTAAAAATTTTTATTAATTTTGTGAATAAATATATTTTTTTCTGAAAAGTTTTATATGTGCAACTCTTAGGTGCGTCATAATACCCCTCTCCCTTAAAAAACGAAATATTGATAAATTAATAAATTTAGAATTAAATGCGCTGCGCCTTATACTTATTGATAGTCTTTAAAAAGCAAAAAAAAAAAGTGCATTTATAGGAGTTAAATATATTTAAACAGAATTTAGAGAATAGTGAGTCTTCAAGTATTATCCTTATCTAGCCGTTAATCGTTACGAGTTCGCAGATTTCACCAGCGCGCATATTTTTCATCATCGTCATCATTTCGAATTTTATAACTATTTTTCTTTCTTTCATAATTTAATTTTTTTTTATACAGGTCCATATTTGCACTTTCTAATTCTTCTTCAATTTTTTTTAATTTTTTATAAGTAGCATCATTTTTTAGACATTTGATTCGTGTATTTAGTTTTAATATTTGGGATTCGTAATTAATTTCATCAGTATAACGTATTCTTTCTTTATTTTTAATAGTTTCCTCTAATAGTTTTGATTTTTTGTTAGATTCATCTTTAATTTCTTTTTTAATTTACCTTGTCTAAAACCTGCTATTCTCATAAATCTAGTATCATAATGTCTTTTTTTTAAAATTTCAATTTTTATTTCAAAATTATATTGTATCTCTTCCATTTTATTAGCCACAATATTTTGAATGAATTTATCATCATTAATCTTGTTCTCATTGAATTCTACTTTGATATGGTCATTTAGTTTCTTAATGTATTTATCTATTTCATTTTGTCGATTTTTATTAGCATTACTATGTTTTTTTTTTAATTTTTCAATTTTTATTTCAAAATTATTTCGTATCTCTTCCATTTTATTTTGAATGAATTTTCATTAAACTTGTTCTCAATAAAGTCTACTTTGATATGGTCATTTTCATTTAGTTTCTTAATGTATTTATCTATATAATTTTGTCGATTTTCATTTGCAGCTTTTGCTAACTTTCTGGTTTTTTCCAAATTTTCTTTTTGAAAAGTTTTCTCAATTCCAAGATTATTTAATTTTTGCGTTCTTAATTTAAACAATTTGGTATGTAAATCATCATTTTTATTATAATTTATTTTTCAATGCTTCATAATTTTTTAGCTCTTTGATTTCTGTCTCTAGTATTGATATTTTGGACTTATAATCTAATATCCTTAATAAGCCTATATCTGGTTCTTGTTTAAGCGATTTTAAAATTTCTTTCATGTAGCTTTCTTTTGCTTCCAATATTTCTGCACTTTCTACATTTTCAGCTGCAGTATTTTCTAATTTCGTGTCATCGATACTTTTTAATCTAGCATAATTACTCTGAGTTTTTGACATCTAATGATTTATAAAGTACTATGATTTGCTATTAATATAAATAATAAAGTTTGCTCAAAAACTGTAGTTAACTATATTTACTAATAGTTCGCTCCTCTATTTAAGGTTATAATTTTGACCAAAAGTATTATTTTATATATTCTACTGTATAAGAGCAGTTTTATTAATTTTAAATTAAATTGAATATTTAGTCTTAATGCAAAAGACATTAAAAACTAAAATAAATTGCAAATAAATAAATCGAAAAAATTATATTGAAAAAGCAGCTTCATTGATCAATTAAAATTTAGATACCCATAATATATTTTGAATTGAAATTTTTAATTTAATTCTGAAAGATATAAATATATTGATAAATTAGTTTAACAGAAAAAAGGCTTTTGGCAGATTTGGAGATAAACAGACTTTTAAATAAATTGGGTTTTATTGATCCATCTTTAGCCAACATATGGTGTCAATTCTTTAACAA